TAGGATATTTCAATGTATGGTGGCAGATGTTAACTAGACTTATTGTGGTAATAATTTCACAAGGTATACAAATATTGAATCATTATGTTGTACACCTGAAACTAATGTAATGTTATATGTTAGTTATACCTAAATTTAAAAAATAGAATTTTTCAATCAAAAACGAAAAGCATCAGAACTCAACCCAGGCTCAGCAAAAGGAGACTGTTATGTTGGGACAGAACAAAAAATCTACAGGAAGGCTGGAGAATCAAACTCAGAGCCAGGTAGGAACTAAGGCCACTGAAATTGCTCGACCTTCTTTTAAGGCAGCTGCTGCTGCTGCTGCTGCTGAAATTAGTAAATGCAATGCCAATCACTGCTATTTTGTACTCAAGTCTCTTCATTCAGTGTTCAGAGCCCTAGGAAAGAGAACTCACTTGGCTTAGCTTTAGCCATATGCTCAGACTTAGTTTAGGATTAGGGAAATTACACAGCATCAACCACACAACCTGAGGTGGAGTCCTGAATGAAAGTGAGGACTACTCCTGGAACTGGGTTGAATGCTCCTGAGTGACCACAGCCATCTCATATAACTTTTATGGCCCCTCTCCTTTTGCTGCCCCTACACTGTTCTTTCCATGCATGGATCTACTTCTAAAATGCCCCAAATTAACATAATGTAACTCCTTTGCTAAATACATACTCACCACTTCTCCAATGCAGATAATTTAAATTCTCACTACCTCCTGCACTTGTTTCCAAGTCTAGGATCTCCTGTAAGGCATCCATTTCTCCTCTAGTTTCAACAAGATTCTATTTCGATGTGCAGTAAGTTGTGGATTAAACAAGTATATTTAATCACCACCTGTTATGCATTTAATTATGTCTTCCCAAAATTTACACGTAGAAGTCCTCACCCCCAGTTTCAGAATGTGGTCTTATTTGAAAAACAAGGTCTTTACAGAGGTAATCAAATTAAAACAAAGTCAATAGTTGTGGGCAGGGAGCTAATTCAATAAGACTTAGGTCCTTATAAAAAGGGGAAATTTGGACTCAGAGACAAGGAATCCAAATTTATTTTAAGGAATTGGCTCATGAGATTAGGGAGACTTGGCAAGTTTAAAATCTGATGGAGAAGGCCGGAAGCCTGAAGACTCAGGAAGAGAGTAACCGTTTGAATTCAAAGGCAGTCTGCTGACAAACTAGGAAGAGCTGATATTGCAGATAAAATCTGAAGGCAATCTGCTGCCAGAATGCTGTCTAGCTTGAGGGACATCAGCCTTTGATTCTACTCAGGCCTTCAACTGATTGGATGAGGCCCATCCACAATATACCTTACTCAAAGACTTAAGTGTAAATCTCAACCAAAAACACTCTCACAGAGAGATCCAGAATAATTTTTTTTAGGTTTTTTTGGGGAGGGAGTAAATTAGATTGATTTATTTATTTTTAGAGGGGAAACTGGAGCTTGAACCCAGGACCTCCTGCATGCTAAGCATATGCTCAACAATTTGAGCTATATCCCCCACCCCCAAATAATTTTAACCAAATATCTGGGCGGCCTGTGGTCTAGCCAGGTCAACACATAAAATTAACCATCAGACATGGCCTTTCCTCTGTATGTACATCTCAGTACCTCTCTGTGTCCAAATTTCTTCTTTTTATCAGACCAGTCAGATTGGATTAGGACTCATTCCACCAGCGTCATTTTAACTTAATCACTTCTTTAAAGGTCTCTTCAAATACAGTCACATTCTGAGGTACTAGGGCTTAGGGATTCAACATGTGATTTCAAGGGGTAGGGAGACACCATTCAACCCACAACACTATGATTACTGCTACACTTTACTAGCACTACCATCCCACTACTACTACCGCTGTACTCCTCCTCCTTGTCCTCTTCCTACTATTGACACTTCCAGAAAGTCTCTTCGTTTCAATTTTCTGTGTTTCTATGAAATAGATTGCATACAGAAGGCACTAGGAAGCCCAGGGTTTCCACTGAGACTGCATACAAGTTCAGCCAGAGTTCACAGAACACAGTTTAGATAGCTCATAAAGAATATTTCAAGACACAGGAATTTTAGTAAAGGAGGAAATGCTATACTATAAAGTTAGGCCAGGAAGATCAGAAAAACCAAGACCACCCTCCAGACTCCACCCTCAGGGCGGAGTCTGAATCTATTAGTGGTTACCAACAGGAGAGTTACCCAGCTCAGAGAGCCCAAACACTGACTCACCAGCAAGGGCTAAAGACTCACCAGCAGTTGTTAGATGTCACAGGGTTCCTCACTTGAATGGCTGGTCTGGTTTCCTCAACAGTAACAGCCTAAGGAATGTCTACCCTTCACTCCTTTTTCAAGCATTAATTACATAATTGTGTTTACCAGTTTTATGGTAATCCTTAGAATATAATTGAGGAATATTGCCAATGAAGGACTAAGTAGTGAATCCAAGTACAAAATACTCCAAATACACATATGCACTCATACCTCCCAGATCTTTTATCAGGCCAAGAGATAAGGGGTTTTCTCTGCTTCATCTTATATTCCACGTAAATTCAATTGTACACACAAAAACAGTAAGATTCCCAAAGATGAACACTGAGCCATTCTTAAATTCAGGTCCTCCATGGTACCTCATTCAGTGTCTTTTATATCATCTTTGTTCAGGAAATATTTGTTGAGTTTAGTAGAGAGAAGACTCTCCAAATTCTGAAGATGCTGGCTCTACTCTGCTCTCTCTTTCATTCAAAAATATGTGCCACGTGCAGCTACCCTGCTAGTCATCAAACAAACAAGGTCACATCGTGGACTTACCCTGAAGTTGAGAGTCTGTAACAGAGTGAATAGTTCAAATCAGCCTAACAGTTATGTGTTCGGCCTGTGTTATGTGAAAGACGCTGCAGAGCTTATCATCCATTAAGGCAGGCCATGTGGACATGAATATCCATAGTTCAAGGCAATTTGCTTTATTAATAGAGATATAAATAATGTACTTGGCATGAGAAAAATGGTTAGGACAAGGCAGGAAACCGAAGCCAGTGCCAGATTATACAGCAGTTTGAAGGCTGAGCACTACTCTGATCACCACTAATAAGTTCTTCTGTTGCCATTGTTACAGCCTGAAAAAGTATGGAAACACAAAGCCTAGAGAGCTGTGTTACCCTAATAGGCACAGAATGGAGCAGTTTGATAGTACTGACACCACTTCAGAGAATAATGCCATTTTTGATAAAGAGCCCAATCTCATTCTCTCCCAAATAGTCAGTCATGAACCAAATATACTAATTTCTTCATATTTTAATTGACATTATAGAAGCAAGTCAGATATAAAACTCTTTAAAGCCATATGTAATAAAATCAAAATTATTAAAGGGAGAATATTTACATAATTCCCCCAAGGCCACCATTCGGTCATTACAAGACCGCTTCAATCCTCCCCATTCCCCTCTACCTCTCAGACTGATGTGAGAGGAGGAGGGGACAAATCAGACAGGGGTGATAGCAACTCACAAATAAAAGAGTTGTAAGACAGGGGGCAGGGAAGATAGAGAGAAAAAGCCAGATGGACCGGGGAGAGGGAAATTTTGGGTGGGGAAGGTGGATAGAAATGGGGACGGGGCAGCTAGTTGTGAAAAAGAAAATGTAAAAGAATTGGGAGGGGGGAAAAAAGTAGGGGAAAAGGACATGATGGTTCTGATTTGGATCCCCATAATGTGCTTTGAGAGATATAAGTAAAGAACAGATTTCCTTTTTAATTTGGGGGAAGAGGCAAGAGAGCCTATTGAACAGTGTTTCTGAAATTCCACACTCTTCAGAGACTGAAACCTTGGGGTTCCCAATTTATTAGGATTGCAATAGAACTTAAAATATTTTGATCGAGGTGAACTGCAATGCATGAGTACTAGACATTGCCAAAGCAGCAGTTAAGTTCTGATTTAACCCAGAAAACTATTTTCTTAACCTAGTGATACAATTTCAAGACAATGGATCTGAAAATGAAACATTTTAGGGATTCTAATTAGGACATGGATTTTTGTTGTTGTCTAACTACCTATTATTTTTCCCAGAAGCAAGCCACTTGAAGTATCTAGGTCAGAAATGAAAACCTCTCTGCACCAACTGAATCGTAAATGCAAGCAGTTAATGAAAGCTTCATTTCTCTACAATCTGTAGAATACATTAGCTAGTTAATGTTGATCTTCTAAAGAGCCATGCCTTTTATTTACAATAAAAAGATATGTATGTGCATGTGTGTATTCATGCCATGTAAGTGGTGTACACTGATATATTTACCAAATTAATTTAAGCATGTAATAACCACAATGCCACAAAAAAGCCCAGCTTGCAATTTGCTTATTGTTAATATCTGACATCAAAAGTTCTTGGAGTCTCAAAGCTGTAACCTAGATAATTAAAAAACAAACAACTATTGCTCAGTGCTTCAGAAAATCTACTCCTCCACAAAGCAGGCTAAAAGATTAAACACAGGTTATTATACTTAAAAGTACTGAATATTTGCATTCAGACCCAAGGTAGCTCTAAAATAAGCAATTGGGTGAGTGGAAGAATCACACAATCTGCAGCAGATAAATACAAATCCAGAGGCCCTGACATCCACAAGATCAGTGTAGAAATAAGAATCTAAAGCAGAGGGAGAAAGACACTTAAAGAAATATCTGTGTTGTGAACTGCTTATCATCATGGTTCATAACAAGCCATCATTTGGTGCCTATTAACATGACAACCAGCTAGCAATTACTCGCTCAGAACCTGAGTACCTTTCAGATCTGTGTGAACAGTAATAACGTACAGATATATATGTGCCATAAATGTAAGACCATAGTGGGAAGACCCTTGCAGTCGCACTTAAAGGAAGGATTTCATCCTTGAATTCAATAAAAGTTGAATGAAGTTCTAAACACAAGTTCTCCCATTCTCTGAGGGATGTGAAATTGTGCACAGCTCTCCTTTTGATAAAGACTTGTGGGAGGGAACAAAAGCAGCAGCACTTACCTCAGCTTCCAACCTCTAGAGTCCATTTCAGTCCCCAGCCACGTCCCAAGGTTGATCCCGACAACCCTAAGTTATGTTGTCTGGCCAGCACTGTGTTTTCAAATGGAGAAAAATGTACTTTTAAAATAAATCCAGATTTCTAGCATGTTGGGAAAAATTCAAAGATCCAGAATCTCTGAGTTGCTATGTTCACCTCAACAAGAGCTGCGTAGTTCTTGCTTCCTTTAGATAGGGCAGGTGTCCTCTGGTTTACCACAACCCTCACCTCTCCCTGATCCACTTTACTCATGTGTGTTGCCTACCTGACCCTAAAAGCATGAGAGTTTACCACTCGGGGATGAACACCTCTCCTAAGAGCTCCAGACAAAACTGCCCGGAAGTTCATGCATTTACAAAAGGTTTCAGAAGTTCCAGAGCTTTCCTGAGTGTCCAGTCTGCTCCAGGGTGGGCTGCAAGACATAGAACCTTGCCTTATTTATATCTGGCTTTCTCATAGTCCACACGGTGCCTGTCACATTAAAGGCACTGTAAGTAAAAGGCAACATGTAAATGTTGATTGTTAGAAGCTAAGGGTAGAATGGACCAGACTAAACCTCAAAGAGCTTTGAACATCTTTAGTTTACTCAAATCCAAATCTTTGGATCCTGGGTTGGCCTTAAATTGAAATAGTTCTGGATTGTTACGGGATCTCAGGGGTTGTGTTGACATGGAGGTCAGAAATCAGACACCCTGCATGGGGGTAAGTTGGTGTATAGTGGAAAAGGGACCTGACTAGTACAGAGGAGGAAAAAGTTCCCTCTACCCTCCTAGGTTCTGTGGCTGGCCTAAGAATTAAACTGACATAAGACAGACTAACTAGAGAAAAACATGTAAATTTAATTTAATATTTTATGTGTACATGAGAGTCATCAAAAGGAAAATAAAGACTCAAAGAGCCGTAAGTCTGAAAGCTTATGTATCTTTTTAAACAAAGAATAATAAACTATGGGGATGTGACAAGACAAAGGGTCTTAGGCCACAGATAGTAAATTATGGAACACTGACTAGGAAATATATGGGGAAACTAATGGGAGATAAGGGTGATTTTAGTAGGTTGGTTTGTACAGATCCATTTCAGTGTTGACGCCCAGTCTCTGGTGATAAGAACGTTCTTCTCTAAGTACAGGGAGGGCACCTTTTTCATAGGTCATGTTATGACCTGCTGTTAGGTAGAAAGGGGGAGGTCAGAGAGCCTGTCCTGCATATGCTGTTTCTCAAGCACCTTCAGCTCAAAATAATCAAATCAAATCAAAGCCGTGTATTTTGGGAGGCATGTTCTGAACCCTTTCAATAGGCATCAGAAGTCCTGGATGTACTGATTCCATAGATAAGTGCTTATTTATTGCCTATTTACACTAAATGCTAAGGATACAAACATGAACACAAGATTCTTTAAAAAGTTCAGCCCAGGTAGGGTTCAAATAGTTTCAGTGAAAGCCATGTGAACTTGGGTGTGTCATTTAACCTTTCCAAACTCTGTTTTTCACCAGCAAAAAGGGGCTGGTATGTCTGTTTCTTGGGGACTTATTTCTTGCTACAGTGAGAAACAACTGAAATAATAAAATTGTACACTTTGCAAACTGTGAAACACAGACAGCAAGATGATAGAATTGGATTCTTCCTGCCTTTGTGTCCGAGGGCTGTAATATAGTAAATTGCAATCAAAAAAAAAGTAAGCAATGAGACACACCCCACTCCAAATAGAGTTCTACAAAGAACCCGTTGCATGCCAATCAGACTCAGGTAGATGGATGACACAAAGAGGAATCTGAGTATGGGTCAAAATATGTTTCCTGTGGTTGGGAGTAACAGAAAACTCTTCCTGACTCACAGTAGAGGCATCTAAGGCAGAGTGTGTATGGTCCTGGGGAAATCCAGATGGTAGGAGAGAGTTTAACTTAAATGTTTGCTGGTAGATCCAAGAGGGAGCTGCCATGGTGGGACTGCATTACCCATTGTGAGTTTACATAAGCAAGAGAGATGGGATGTTTCCTATTGACCAAAGTGAGCTATTCAGGACAGAGTGACCTCTGTTATTCTTGTTTCCTAAAGAATTAGGCCCCATAGACATATGAGGTGATCTTAGTAGAAAGAGGCTAGTTGTATACCCAGCGATATCCAAGGACTGAGCAAGGAGATGCTAGTGAACACCTGGGTTAAAGACACATCCATGGAGGTAAAGTAACCTGCAGGAGAGAGGAACTCAGCAAGGAAAAAGTCCATGAGATGGCCACACAGAAGCAAGAGTCCATTTTTTGTCCCAAGTCCTTGCCTGTCAGGATTTCCAAGAGAGATTAGCTTTAACCATCTGCCAAGTCAGAGAGCCAAAGTCCTCTAGCCAAGAGACAACAGTCTTATCCTTTTATCTCTCCCTTCTCCCACACTACATTTGCCTCTAGGAAGAAGGTGAGCAGGGAGCATGAAAGAGGAAGAGGAGACAAACTTGCTTCCTCTCTCAGTGTAGGCTTCAGCCAAAACAGGAGAGAGTTCAGGATTTCAGATTTCAGGCAAGACAGATTTGATGTTAAATTGTACCTGCAGTTTTGACTTTGCATGGCCCTAGACACTGTCAAGATGGAATTGAAGCTATGTTTATGACTTAAAACGGATCATAGGACAGTTGTTTAACTTACTGAACAGAAAAGACAGGGGAGTAGGCTAGATCTTCACCTAGGGTCAGATGAAGATTACCCTCCAACTAATAAAGAATAAAGGGAAAGTAGGAAACAAACAACAATGCATTTGATGCAAATGCACATGTCATTCACCATATGTATGCACCATATAAATGGGAATAATTCTGAGAAGCAGCAGCAGTTTTTCTTCTTCTTAAAAAGCAGCTTTAAATAATGAACTATTCCTGAAGTTGCCATAATCGACTTTTTCTACATCCTTTTTCTTAAGACAAAATGTGGGTAAAGCCTATTGACAGAATGATAATGGCTATAGGTCATGGCACAGATCTGAATTTGAAGGTGAACTTAAGAGCCTCGACAAAAACTTGTATTAGAGAATTGTGGACCTCCCAAGAAATGTTGGTTGTTTCCCCACTCCCTTGAAATGTAGGGCTTTCTTCAAATTTTGGAAATATGAGCAGTTGCTGTATCATGCCTCATGCCTCAGTGCTCAAGTTTCTGTGATCTGTCAGTCAAGTGGAATCCTTAGAAGCACCAACTGGCCCCACTTGGCAATGAAATTGAGTGTACATGGAATAATTATGCTATGCACCTGTGTCTCTATGCCACCCTAATAAAACTTCCAAAAGAGTGTCCCCTTTCTCCCCACCACCCTACTCAGGAAATTTAAATTTCCTATAAAGGAAATTAAAAAGAAAAGCTCTGTGATTCAAATAAGGATTACACTCAAGATTCTACCATTTGGAGTATTCCTAAAAAAAATTTACTCTGCCCAGTCAGAGTAGGTCATCCTGTGGTTAATATATGGTTTAAACTGAAATCTGTCAAAGAAATTAGGTTTACTCCTTTACTTTAGCCTTGAAAAAATATAGCCCCAGGGAGTCTTAGATATAAGCTGTGTATACAAAACAGGCACTTTATTCTTTTTAAATTGAGGATTATAAGGGTGGAAAAGGGAGAGAAAATGTCCTCCTTCTCTCCAAAGTCTTCTAGACTTATAATCCTGATTCCTTTTTTTAGGTCCCTCCTTCCCACTCCTACATCTCCAAATTTTATCTAGAACAGTTTCAAGATTGATTCTTTGTTTCTGCTGTGTTGCCTTAAAGCTGAAATGCTTATCTTTTAGACAGTTACTATCGCCTCCTTTACCCCAGCCAATTGTCAGTGACAGCTGTGTTTTAAAAACGATCACTTTAGTGTCATAAAGATCACTGCTAATTAAACTCAACCAGAGTATTTGGTTTGTATCTGAGTGTTTGGTTTCTGTCCTTCATTGTGCATTTTCCTAAGATCTTCTTATCCCAAAGTTAATTATACCGAAAGACAGCAGATTGTCTGAACCTCAGGGGGGATTTTTCCCCAGTTTGCCTTTTTGCTATTATTCCTAGAGGATTATTCAGAATTGTTTGTTGAAAAAAGTACCTTGGAAAGAAGACAGAATTTACGATAGAAGTTTTGGATTTTGAGAAGGTTCATTTTTAATTAACATTATTAAATGGTATTAAGCAAGTATCTATACGGAAATATATCTTACTGCATCTCACCATAGAGGCGTAGCAACAGTCTTAGAAGAACCTGGGCTATATAGAGAAACATGTACCTCATCAACCCGTTTGAACAGCTACTCATATGATATCATATACTTAAAAGAAATATAAGGCATGGGCCATGGTCTCAGAGACCACACAATCTAGTTGGACGGAACTGAATCTTTTGAATTCCATAGACCAATAACTTTCTAGGGGAAAAAAAATTGGGAGAGACAGATAAGATAGAGATGTCAACTTTTTCTTATGGCCAGCTTAACGATAAAAATGACTAATATTTTCAGAGTACACTCTATGTGCCACACATGGGTCTAAGGGCTTTATTTATTTCATCTGGAATTTATTGCAACCCTTCTGACATTTTATAAATATATGAAACATGATTATTGATACCACCAATGTATTATACATATTTTACTATTGATATACAACTATATGTAGCATTGTATGTGTGTGTGTGTGTGTGTGTGTGTGTGTGTGTGTACCATTATCATCCCCACTTTACAGGAAACTGAGGTCCACATAAGTCAGCAACCTCAGCAGCACTCGGATTTGAATACAACCAGTCTGGCTCCCAAAACCCTTAACCACTACTGTCTCACATCAGTTAATCTAGCCATTTCCATGAAAGAGATTTATCTTAATACTAAAAGAGTAAACAAGTCAACTAACGACAAAATAAAGATTTGTTAGATACGATAGACTTAGCTTTATGATAAAAGCTACATTGTCCTTATTTTTGTCACTTTGTATGGATCTATAAATACTGGAATTGGAGAGCCATGGAACAACTTTGAACAGACAAGATCTATACTTAGAAAGTATAATTAAAATTTGAGCCAATTTGTGATTCAAGTGAGCAGTACAG